TGTCATCTTCTTGCCTATTTCTTGACTGTCTTCCCTGCTGGATTCTTCCTTACCATTCTGCTGTTAATTCTAACCTGCACATTGCAGAGTTTCTTCTATTTACAGTTGCCAAGTTTGAGCACGTTAATGTTATGTTATGCAGTTATGTCTTTTAGAGCGAGGTCTAGTTCTGTTTTTTGGCTGCTACCACTGCTTTCGGAGTTCCAGAACTGAGGGCTATTCCGGAGGCGCCAACAGGAAGGGGAAAAAATCATTTCCTGCCTCCCTAAAGGCACGGTGGGAATAACCCATAGAGATGTCCTCCTGAACCTCAGAGGAGAAGGACCCCTCACGGTAAGAACCAATGGTCGTTCTTCTATCCGTGACATTTTATATCGCTTGGAGGTGGTCAGACTCTGTCTTCCGCTTCACTCGCGCGAAGTACTGATCACACAGCGCGCCGTCCCCACGGTGGTGTGAGTTTTTTTTTAAAAAAAACCCTGTTCATGCGCTTGGGCATACATACAAACTAAGAAGACCAAAATAAAAGCTAGTGCCTGTTTGCACATGCGCATAACTTAAACAGGAAACACACAAAGGGGGGGGGGTTAGTGCAGTCACGGCGGATTGCTGTCCAGATACCAAAACTGCGGATACAAAGCACGAGATATCAGAAAACACCTGTTCCAACGGGTGTCAGAAAACGCAGATAAAAAGAGCAGAAACCGCGGGACTCAGCCTGCTTCAGTGCAGGAGGCGGGTTTGCCAATATGAACAGGAAACTTTAATGTGCGAGGGATCAGCAGCGAAGCCCGCACTAAATGTCCGTGTGACCTGACCCTTAGTGTGAACTAACTCAGTTTTTTAGCCTCTGGCTGACACATTTTTGTCTCAGCTCAGGAAGGATGGCTGCAGAGCAAACTAATTGATGCAGTAGCCAAATACTTCGCTCCCAACTAATGCCAGTAGCTCACAAAGCTGAATTTTTGCTCACAAGACTCCACAGCTTAGAGGGAACATGGAACGGGGTCAGGCACAAAGGTGGGGGAAAGTCCCCAAAGGGTGTTCCTGCAGTCTGTGCATGAATCTGCGATGCACTGCAGACTAAGATTTTCAAAGGCAAAAGAAATGGCATCCTCAAATGGGCCACCATTTTGGGTTGCCTTAGCAAGCTGGCTGAGTGCCGATGCCTCTGGCTCCCACTGTGCTATACATGACCTGGAATTAGGAATTGGGGGTGAGCAGTGTAGTAAGCCAGATCTGCATATGATACCAAATTATCCAGCTTGTTGAAGAGCTACCCGTGGGTCTCTCTAAATTGAGTGAGTGGGCAACAACATGGCAAATTAAATGCGATGTGGATAACTGTAAGATGACGCATCTTGGAACAACAACAACAACAAAAAGCCCAAATTGAATTGGCTGAGACTGAGATTGAAAGAGATCTTGAGGTTGCAGTGGAAAGCTCAACGAAAACGTCCAACCAGTGTGTTAGGCTTGCCAAACCCCCCGGTTTGCCAGGGGTCCCCCGTTTTTTGGGGGGTTCTACCTGCCACCGGCCAGATGGCCGGCAGGTGAAGCCCCACCCCCAACACCCACAGCCACCCATCTCTCTCCCTTTAAGTGTGTGCAACCCATGTTTCATCCCAAGCGCGAACTCCGCAAGCTTGCAGGGAAATGCCAGCTTCGTTCTTAAAAGGGAAACGCAGCTGCTCTTAAAGGGGAAACACCGGCTGCCGGCTACTTTAAGTGCAGGGAACTGCCATTTCTGGAGATCCGGCGCACGGGCGGGTGGGGGCGGGGCGGCAGACGTCCCCAATGTGACGTCATCACGTTGGGGATGCCCCACCCCCTCCAGGAACGCCCCCAAAGTCCCCCGCTGGGGGTGGAAGATGGACTTGGCAACCCTAGAGTGTGTGCCAGCAGTGAAAAAAGGCAACTTATGTTAGGAATCATTAGGAATGGGATTGAAAATAAAATGGCCAATAAGTTGTAGGGCTGCCTCCTTTGGAATAGTACTATGGGCAGTTCTGGTCACCATAGCTCAAAAAGGTATTGCAGAGCTAGAGGAAATGCAAAGGAGAGCAACCAAGATGATTAGCAAGTAGAACATCTTTCCTATGAGGCAAGGCTGGAGAGTCCGTGCCTTTTCAGTCTAGAAGAATAAACAGCTAAGGAGCAACATCATAGAGAGTTTAATAAAATTATGCAGGGTAGTGGAGAAATTGAATAGTGGAAGCTTTTTTTCTCTCCCTCTTAATACTGGGACTTGGGGGCAAGTTGAGAAATTGTTGAGAAATAGGTACAGTAGGAAAAACACATAAGCAATCCTGTGATGTAAACATATCAAAAGATTTATACCAGCCACAAAATAAGGGCTTTTAGCTGGGTGAAATGAAGACTGGGTTGCGACTACTGAAAGAAAATGAACAGTGTTTAGGAGAGCAATGCCAACAAAATCTAAGAGGCTTTTTTGAAACCTATGGGCTTGCTCCACATGTAAACACTTGGTATGATCCAGAAGTAAGTTTTCTAAATTTTGAAACTAATTAAGGTATTATGGTTTGATATAATTAATTTCCATGCAGCTACTTATGAATTTGCATTTACCTTGGTTTTTCCAGGATACTATGAAGAAAATTACTACATTAAACTGGATTAAGATGCTGACCTCGCCCTTCAGTATAAAATTACATCTGAGGAAGACTGTATAGTTGAAATGAGTTTATACCGGATACTCATCATGTAGAACTATATTGGACCTGTTGTTCACAATATTGTGTAATTGATAAAACTTTTTGTAATTTTATAAGTCTTGAAAGTAATATAAATCTTTTGATATGTTTACATCACAGGATTGCTGATGTGTTTTTCCTACTGGACACCTGTGACCCCTTTTGAGAAATAGGTACAGGGCAAACAAAAGGGAATACTTCTTTACACAGTGAGTAATTAAACTGTGGCATTCAGTGCCAGGTGAGATAGTGATGAGCACAAGCACAGGTATCTTTAAAGGGGGGTTAGAAGATACATGGAGGAGATGTCCATCCATAGCTACTAGCTGTGGTAGCTAAAGGAAGCCTCCATATACAGAGGCAGTGAACCTCTGAATATGAGTGTTGGGTGGCAGCATCGGGGGGAGGGGGCTTGGCCTCCATGTCATGTTTGTTTGGTCTTCCAGTGCGATGGGTTGGTTGCCGTGTGAAGCAATATGCTGGACTAGATGGATCCACGGGTCTGATCAAACATGCTCTACTTATGTTCTTATGTTCCCAGGACAGTGCCCATGTTCAAGGACTGGGCATCAGTTGGGATGCCTGGAGGTCTTTTCCAACTCTATGATTCTGTGCCTGCCCGAGGGCACCATATTCCACAGACAGGCCTCATAGCTGCTAGGGATGTCAGCCTCTAACTGTCAGGAAGTTCTTCCTAATGTTTAGCAGAAAACTCTTCTGATTTAAGAACATAAGAGAAGCCAATGTTGGATCAAGCCCATCCAGTCCAACACTCTGTCACACAGTGGCCAAAAATACCAGGAGCCATCAGGAGGTCCACCAGTGGGGCCAGGACACTGGAAGCCCTCCCACTGTTGCCCCCCCCCAAGCACTAAGAATACAGATCATCACTTGCCCCAGACCAACAGTTCTTATCTATACCTTGTGGCTAATAGCCACGGATGGACCTCTGCTCCATATGTTTATCCAATTCCTTCTTGAAGCCATCCATGCTTGTCACCACCACCACCTCCTGTGGCAGTGAATTCCATGTGTTAATTACTCTTTGGGTGAAGAAGTACTTCTTTTTATCTGCTCTAACTCAATTGCTCAGCAATTTCATGGAGTGCTCATGAGTTCTTGTCTTGTGAGAAAGGGAGAAAAGTACTTTTTTCTCTACCTGCTTTATCTCATGCATAATCTTGTAAACCTCTATCGTTGTCATTCCTCAGCCATTGTTTCTCTAAACTAAAGAGCCCCAAGTGCTTTAACCTTTCTTCATAGGGAAAGTGTTCCAACCCTTTTATCATTCCAGTTGCCTTTTTCTGCACTTTTTCCAATGCTATAAGATCCTTTCTGAGGTGTGGTGACCAGAATTGCACACAGTATTCCAAATGAGGTTGCACCATCGATTTATACAGGGACATTATGATACTGGCTGATTTGTCTTAATTCCCTTCCTAATAATCCCCAGGATAGCGTTGGCCTTTTTTATTGCCGTCGCACACTGTGTTGACATTTTCAGTGAGTTGTCTACTAATTTCAACCCGTTGGTTCTGGTCCGACCTTCTGGGGCAACAGAAAACCATACCATCCTCTATATGACAGTCCTTCAAATACTTGAAGATGTTTATCCTATCACCTCTCAGTCATCTCCTCTCCAGGCTAAACATACCCATCTCCTTCAGCCTTTCCTCATAGGACTTGGTCTCTAGACCCCTTACCATCTTCGTTGCCCTTCTCTGGACACGTTCTAGCTTGTCTATATTCTTTGTAAATTGTGGTGCCCAAAACTGAACACAGTACTCTAGGTGAGGTCTAACTAGAGTACAGTAAAGCATCTTGACTCTAATTAGAAGAACAGAAGAGAAGAGATTGGATTTATACCCCGCTCTTCACTTCCCGAAGGAGTCTCAGAGCGGCTTACAAACTTCTTTCCCTTCCCCTCCCCACAACAGACACCCTGTGAGGTAGGTGGGGCTGAGAGAGCTCTGACAGAAATGGCTCTTTTTCAAGAACAGCTCTTATCAGAACTACGGCTTGCCCAAGGTCATCCAGCCAGGTGCAAGCGGAGGAGTGGGGAATCAAACCCAGCTCTCTCAGATTAGAGTCCGTGCACTTCACCACTACACTGATTAGACTCTAATCTAAACTACTACACTAATTAGACCTTCCTGGCAACAACCTCCCACCCTCTATCCCTATGTAATGGCTGGTGACTTCTGTTTCTACTTCAGTCCATTAAGACATTGTACAAACTTGGAGTGGGGAGAAATCTATTTCCACACAGGGAAAATTCCCAATTATTTATCCGCCCACCAGTTCTTCACAGACTTCCAGCTTGTGCTGATATATTAACCAGCCCCGATATGAACTCTTTAGCAAGCTGCTAAGAATAGAGTGGTACTTGTCTACATTACGGAATTCATATTCACCTTGGATATCTGGATGAGTCACCATGAGAAGCAGTCCCCATTGCAGGGTGGCGCTGGTTGTGTCTGTCCCAGCAACAAATAAGTCAGAAATACACTGAAACAGGTTGGTATCATCATATGTTGAAGTGGGGTCATTCTTGCTCTGTTTTTGACAACAGGAAATAAAATTACATTGATGTTTGCTTCAGTTCCCAATACCTCATCCCAAAGACCTGTGAATTGTTTCTAGAAAGAAGGGAGAAGGATATAATAGGATGGAGTCTACGATCTGAACAATGAAAGAGCTGTCGACTGGTTTTTCATCCAGAGATATAAGGCTGTGTAAAAAGTACAGGAGTTTCAGACCAGTACAGCCTAATGGGGAAGTTAAAATGTCCAAGAAGAAAGATAGCAGAGATCTACTGTGTTCTGTTTTAAAAAGATAATTGGATTGTGTGACTTTAGCAATCATGTGTTGTTATGTATGTATGTTATGCCACGTGGTCTACCGGATTCACAGACCTTCGGGTCTAGAACAATAGCCATCACAGATCCTAGGGAGAACCAATGGGAGCGCTGGGATCCTGATAAGAACCTATCATTATCGGGGCCATGTATATAGAACCTATCACGGGAATGGGGGGGGGGTGTTGGGTGTGAGTGTGTGCACGAATATAAACCGGCCTCGCACCAATTATCTCTTTTCGCTGCGATGTAATCAATAAATGTGAGCTGATTTCACTATGCTACGCCTGGAACTCCACTACTTTTCATGTGTAATTTTTAAATATTAATCATGAATTCCTGTTAAATCCAGTATCACTGTGGTCGTGGCCATAATCAGAACTGTTAGGAAGGGTATTGTGAGTTCCCTGGCTCGCCCGCCTCGGAGTCGCCAGGGGGTCACTCTCCAGGCCTTCCCTCTGTAGCCACGCACGCAGAGGTTTTGGCTGTAGTGGGCGTGGCCAACTCTGAAGCCAGCTGGAACTCCGTTCCTGTGCCTTCCTGCTCAAAAATAGCCCTGAATGTAACTATGGTTCAGAGGAGCTGAATTCACAAAGTGGATACTTACTTTCTCCATCTGGAGTAGATAGTAGTCGATGAAATCCCGTGGATCATGCACTGCCAGTTGTGCCCTATGCGCTTCTGTCTCTTTCCTTGCATGTGAAAGCACAACATCTACAGCGGCAAATGCCTCCTTGTATGGCCATTTGATATGTTTCATGAGCCATGGGACTGCTTCGTACATCTGCAGAAGAAAACAAAAGCAAATCCTGCACATCAGTCAACAGCCTGAGTAGCCCTTTCAGCATCATGAACTGGATTACATTCAAGAGCGAGCACGTGGATTCTCAGTGAACGAAAGACAGCTCCTGGGCAGTGTTCCCTCTAAGCTGAGTTAGTGTGAGCTAGCTCATAGTTTTTTAGCCTCCGGCTCACACATTTTTGTCTTGGCTCAGGAAGGACGGCTCCAGAGCAAACTAATTTATGCAGGAGCCAAATCTCTCGCTCACAACTTTAATGCCAGTCGCTCACAAGGTAGAATTTTTGCTCATGAGACTCCACAGCTTAGAGTGAACATTGCTCCTGGGCCAAGGTCTAAACCACAGGGAGGGGGCGTGTGAATGTTATCCTAACTTTGTGTTAGTTCTCGGTTCCCAAAACACAGCAACAAGGTGCAGCCAGTTTTAGTAGGTGAACAGTACGACTAGATTGCTTAGTTCTCAGTTGGAAGATGAGGATATCCTTGACTGATGGGTGATTTTCCACATCAGAACAGGAGGCAGGGACAAATCACCGCTTCCTTCGACCACTGGTGGGAGGCACTCTCCTCTTCCATTGGCAGTTCCATTCCTGCCTTCTGCTCGGAGTGAGGTGATATTTGGAAACTTTGCTTTGCAGTGCTTCCAGGGCAGCTTTTCCCTCAGTTTTCTCCTTTTTGTAGACAATGGCTGAGAGAAGATCATCCACATCAGAATTTCAAACCATAGGGTACTTGCCTATGATAAAAGGGTTGGAACACTTTCCCTATGAGGAAAGGTTAAAGCGCTTAGGGCTCTTTAGCTTGGAGAAATGACGACTGAGGGGTGACATGATCGAGGTTTATAAGATTATGCATGGGAAAGAGCAGGTAGAGAAAGAGGTACTTTTCTCCCTTTCTCACAATACAACAACTCGTGGGCACTCCATGAAATTGCTGAGCAGTCGGGTTAGAACGGATAAGAGGAAGTACTTCTTCACCCAAAGAGTGATTAATACTTGGGATTCACTGCCACAGGAAGTGGTGGCGGCTACAAGCATGGACGGCTTCAAAAGGGAATTAGATAAGCATCTGGAGCAGAGGTCCATCAGTGGCTATTAGCCACAAGGTATAGATAGGGGCTCTGGGGCAAGTGATGCTCTGTCATCTTGGTGCTTGGGGGGGTCAACAGTGGGATGGCTTCTAATGTCCTGGCCCCACTGCTGGACCTCCTGATGGCCCCTGGTATTTCTGGCCACTGTGTGATACAGAGTGTTGGACTGGATGGGCCTTTGGCCTGATCCAACATTGGCGTCTCTTATGTTCTTATGCCTCCAGCTCTGAGGTTTGCTGGTATATAATGTTGTCACCAAGTCCATGGAAATGCTGCAGTGCACTGGACAGGAGCAACGATCAAATTAATCTAGTGTAGAACAACCGCCCTCGGCACAGGGTAGCAGAGCGAGTCATCCCCTTCAACTGTGATCCCCCTATCCCCACGCAAGATCTGGCCTCTGGAGTCACAGCCAATGTTCCCTCTAAGCTGCGGAGTCTTGTGAGCAAAAATTCTACTTTGTGAGCTCCTGGCATTAAAGTTGTGAGCGAGCGACTTGGCTGCTGCATAAATTAGTTTGCTCTGGAGCCATCCTTCCCGAGCTTAGACAAAAAGGTGTGAGCCAGAGGCTAAAAAACTGTGAGCTAGCTCACACTAACTCAGCTTAGAGGGAACACTGGTCACAGCAGTCATCTAGAGGGGGAAAAGTACCTAAAGACAGAGCATCCATCTATCCATCCGTCTGTCAGTCCGAGAGGCTCAAGAATCCTGCACAATTTGGCCACCTGCAGGTTACAAAGGCAACAACGCCTACACAGTCCCCGCACGGCCAGCAGAGAAGAGGAAAGCTATCCAGCTTCCCAAGGCAGACAGAAGGTCCTAGTACAGTGGGGACCCAGGGGAGGGGGGGCAGAGTTATTGCAAGGGGCCAGGGATCCATATGTGCACCGAGCATTGTCATTTTGATCCTTTTGTCATTGAGAAAATACATAACCAATGGTTATGTACAGTTACTATCACTTTGGAGGTCTTCGTATATGTAAATATATTTAATGTTAAAAGCTTGCTCATGCTCAAAAAAGGTTGTGAACCTCTGGCATAGTGTATGCATGCAATTTGTTTCAGGGGACAGAAATTGAGTACTGAAGTTATCAGAAGGAGGATCTAGCTGTTGTGGGAGCACGTGCTCTGTCCAAATAATATTTTCCTCGGGAAGATCTCCCCTGCTTAACTACCACATCAATGAGAATGCTAGAGCTCTTGAGTCTCTCACTGGGAGAGACCCCCTCAAAATAGGGAGGGGGGCTAAGAATTGCCTCTTTGGAGCGAAAGGATCAGATTAACATTTTCTTTTCCAAATTGTTTTTGAGGAGGAGATCAAGGAAGAACGGTGCCCCCTGCTCACTCGCACTTTCTGCACTGGGCATGCTCCGTGGTTGCATTCTTTCCCTAGCAGAGCCTGTGTGATGTGGGCAAATGGGCAGCTCAGTGCTATTCCAACCATGAGTAGAAAACAAGGGGAATACTTTCATAGGCAAGAGAGAGCCACTGCCTTTATGGGAGACACAGGGCCTTGACTCCATGTTTGCAACTAGAGCTAAGGTTTCTGTAGTTATGTATGGTACATCAAAACTTATGGGGGGAAAAAATGCTGGTTGGAGATACTCCTTCCAAAACCAACCTCACCATATCCTGCTTTCTCAGAAACAAGCTTTTGGAGAAACTCTCATATCTGGTGTGTGGGAATTATCAAGGACAAAAAAGAGAAAAGGGGAAAAACCTGAACCTAAAACCTAGAATTCACTGGGCAAAGAAAAGAAATACAAAAATACAAATGAAGCCTCCAGTGCAATCACATGTCCAGTAGTACTTCTCTCTGGTCAACTATATATTCTCCTGAGATTGTACAGCCAAATGTTCCCAATAAAATGTTCCTTAGGTTAAAAGCCCAGTGGTTAAACTCTGGAACAATTGTTTTCTGGTCTTTATTCCATATTTTGTATATGTATGATTGTATATATATTTAACATATCAGCCAACATGTTCTGTTTGTATTAGACCTCTGAGGAAGGCCGGTAAAGGCCGAAACGTGTTAGGTCTATTTCATTAGCCCTTGTATGTTTTTATTTGTATATGAGGTATGAATGGGCCCTTGTTTGTTATTTTAATTTGTGTTGAATAAATACATGTATATTTTTGTATGTTTCATGATTAGATTTTTAGAGTTGGCCCTCTTCTATTCTTGACTAACCTTTTTAGGTTCTGAATTCTAGGTGTGGGAATTATCAACATCCTGGGTGGGCTGTAGATAACTGATGTACTGGTTTGAACTGGGAGCTGTTGGCAGACTTGAATTTTTCTTAATTAGATCTCACTTTGACTCTCCTGCATTTTATGGTTCTCCACTTCTCCTGTATAAAGGGTGGGAAGCCACTCATCGTATCTGAAGAAGTGGGTGGTAGTCCATGAGTGCTTCTGCTGCAATAAAATGTTCTTCCTTTTTTGAAGTGCCAGTAGGCTGTTAGTTTTTGCAGGTAGAGACCAGCCCAGGCACCCTGTATAGGTTTTGAAAGGAAAGTCCATAGTGGGAGGCTTGCAGAAACGGATTTACGATTTCACTGGAACCGACAGAAGCTTCCCTTCATGCTCCCTCACTGGAAGTTCTTCAGATTCTTTTACCTGGTCAGGCGCTTCCAGTTCGGGGACTTTGAATCAGGTCTTGCCTCCCTCCTCAGGATCTTTCATGTGGTTGCTGAGGTAGCCTTTCCCAGCACACGTGGCATCCGTGCGCACCTATACTTGGGTGATCTCCAGGGCTCTAGTCGGGGGGGAGCTCTCAGGTACGAGGCTCCGGAAGAGAACCTCTAGGGGGCGGGGCGGTCACGTGGTGAAGCCCCGCCCCCTTCTTTACCCCGCCCTCTGCTTCGATCCTCATTCCGTTTGGGAATGAGGATGAAGCAGGAGGGTAAGTAGCCGGGCCTTCTGACACACTTCCGGTGATGTCAGGGGGTGTGGCCTTCTGTCACTTCCGGTGATGTCAGGGGGCGTGGCACATGCAAATAAGTTATGCTAATGAGTTATGCTAATGAGCTCCGGCAGCTCTTTTTCTACAACAAGACCCCTGGTGATCTCGTTCTGTGGCGAGGCAGTGAGGGAACGTCGCAACTCTCAGAGGCAGAGCAGCATTTGGCTTCCCCTTCCTAGACTCCTAGGGCATCACCTGACCCCCCCCATTCCCAAGTTGTAGCCTGCTGTCGCCAGTATTACCCAAGCATCTACGGCATCCTCTCTTAAGGATACATCGTCATGAACCAAAAGCTCCTCAGCTCCTGCCAAGTAGTGGGTGTCACGAAGGAAATGGCTATCTCACACCAGAAGATAATATTCCCTATCAGATCCCAGATAGTGACACGAACGCAACCTACTTGGCTGTCAAATCTCTGTCTAGCATATTTTGCTTTAGTAAAAAAAATATATTATTTTTTTGTCATGTGACCCTGGAGAGCTGAAGCCACTGAGTCGACAGTACTGTCCTTGAGAGACCCAGTAGCCTGATTCAACAAAAAGCAGTTTCATGTAGAATACCCTTCTCCCAGCCCTCCTTTATCATCCATGGAGTGAGATGCCCTAATCTTTCCCCAGGACAACAGGAAAGCAAAAGACTACTCACAAGATGAAAGAAGGTACCTCCAAATTTTACACTACATTCAATGGAATGTATCAGCTTGAGGAATTCTTCATCATCAACAGAATACCGATGTCCAAAAACCAGAGCACATATCACATTGCAGACTGAGTTAATGATGGGTAATGAGGGGTCAAGTGGCTGCCCTGCAAACCAAGATATATGCAAAACGTTCACAATAGTTTTATCTCTGTCGTTAATACGGAGAATGAAATTTCTTTAGACAGAAAACAGCTGAACACGAGATGGCCTCTCTTGATTTTCAGTTTCAGTCGTGTTGCATGCTGATGAAATGGTTCTGTTATCAGTAAACCAAGACAGATGAGACAGATGCAAGCTAATTTGGATGCTTTCTATAAGAGGGAGAAGTTTAACATTAATTACTTGGGGTGGGGAGGTAGTGGTTTTGAGAAAGCTATCTGAGATATATGAATGGGCTATAGATGGACATTTCACTGAACAGTGTAAATCTTCTAAATATCTTGGGATACATTTTAATGTATAACTTAGTTGGAGAATTCATTACAGTTTCACAAACTATTCAGCAAATTATGAGATTTCTTTTTAAATCCCAAAGAAGGTTAGCCGGTAGATCCTGCCCTTAAAATTTGTGTGAGAAAAGCACTTGCACAACTGTGTTATTGGATCTGAGATTTGAGATAACTGTAATAATAGGAGGATGTGTTCATCTGTCTGTACATCCATCCATCTAGGGAAGGCATAACTCTTTGGGGGGGGGGAAGCTAGGGGACTCCACGTAGGCCAAAGGCTTCAGAATGATCATGAGAGTTGGAGTGCCAAAATGAAGGATTATATTTAGAACACAGCCCTGATATTATTTGTGATGGAAGCTACAGTTGTCTGTTTGTGGCAAGCATAACTCATCAGAAAAGAAAACTTGGAGTTTCAAAATTTGCCACCAGGTTCAGGATGATTATGGGAATTGCAGTCACAACAATGAAGAAGTCAGAACAAACTAGTCTAGATTATCTCCAGGAAATCCCTCTGCTATTTGCAACAGAAGTGACAGTTGTCTCTTGGTGGGAGGCATAACTGATCAGAAAATAAAGCTAGGAGTTTCAGAATTGATGATCAGGATGATCACTGAAGATGAAGTGCCAAAAATGAAGAGAACCAGAAAATCCTGGCCCAGGTTAGCTTCAGAATGTCCTCCCTGTGTTATGTGCAGTGGAATTGTCTGTTGGTGCCAGCATCCTGATCCACAATGTAGTGGTTAAGAGCTGCAGACTCTAATCTGGAGAACCAGGTTTGATTCCCCACTCCTCCACAGTGGGCCAGTCACAACTCTCTCAGAGCTCTCTCATCCCCACCTACCTCACAGGGTGTCTGTTGTGGGGAGAGGGATGGAAGGCGATTGTAAGCCGCTCCGAGTCTCCTTCGGGTAGTGAAAAGCGGGGCATAAAAACCAACTCTTCTTCTTCTGATCAGAAGTGAGATGAGTTCCAAGAATCCATCATGGAGTAGCCAGTAACTAGATAAGATGTAGCAAGTCGGTTAGACTCTTTATTGTTTTTATTATCTCATCTAACCCTTCATAATTTCTTAGTAAACTTTCTTTAAACTGGTTTACACATGTGTGGTGCGTTATTACCTTTACTCTACTACATATACAACAAAGGGAAACTCAGTGCCAGGCAGGGTTCTTTTGGGGCTGGAGCACGCCGAAGCACCGCTCCGGGAGCCCAGAAGCTGGCAAAATGGTGGTGGCAGCAAGCCCCACCCCCAGCTTCATATGCTACGGCCTGTTGCCGGCCTCCCGGGGCCCACGCTGGAGCGCTGCAGCCCCAGGAGGGCCCGAGGAGGCCCATCGCCGCCTTCCCGGGGCCCGCGCCGGAGTACTTCGGCCCCGGGGAGGCCTGAGGAAGCCCATTGCTGCCTTCCTGAGGTCCGCGTCGGAGCGCTGGGGCCCTGGGGAGGCCCAAGGAGGCCCATTGCTGTCTCCCTTGGGCCCGCACCAAAGCACTGCGGCCCCGGAGATGCAGGAGGAGGCCCGTCGCTGCCTCCCCGGGTCAGCACCAGAGCGCCGTGGTCCGGGGGAGGCCGGAGGAGGCCCCCCGCCGCCTCCCTGGGACCCGGGCCGGAGCGCTGCAGCCCTGGGAAGGCCTGAGGAGGCCCATTGCCACATACCTGGGGCCCACACCAGAGCACTGGGGCCCTGGGGACGCCGGAGGAGGCCTGTCGCCACTTCCCCGAGCCACTTTAAACCTCTTCTCTCTTCGCTCCCCCCCCCCCCACCCGCGGCTAGGGAAGGGGAGGCTATGGAAGATGCCTTCCCCCCCTTTTGCTTCCCCTTCTGACATCCCTTCTGACAATGACTGTATGCTAATGAGCTCCTGCAGCTCTTTTTCTATGAAGTGACCCCTGGTGCCAGGAATTATTAGGAAAGGGATTGAAAATCAATTGGCCAATATTGCAATGCCCTTGTCTAAGGCTATGTCGTGGCCTTGGTTTGAAAAACTGTGCAGTTCTAGTCTGTGTATCTCAGAAAGGGTAGCACAGAGCTGGAAAAAGTCCAACAAAGGGCAATCAGGAGGAGTAGGGGGTTGGAGTACCTTTTCTATAAGGAAAGTCTAGAGATTCTGGGCCTTATCAGGTGTATGTTTTGATAGACTTCTGGCAAGATTCAAAGTCTCCCTACAAGCTGACAGAGAAGGGAGTCATGAAGAGGTTGGGAAAATGGATAGAGTTAAATTTTCCTCCGTCTCCCATAATACTACAGCTTCTAGTTATATAGTGAAATTGGTGGGAAATAGGCTCAGGACAGACAAAAATAAGTAATGACTAATTAAACTGTGTATGAGTAATTAAAACGAGTAATTAAACTGTGACATTCAAGGCCAGTGGAGACAGTGATGGCCACAGCTATCTGTGAGTGAGTTGTGCCGTCAAGTCACTTCCAATTTATGGCGACCCTATGGATTAATGTCCTAGAAAGTGTCCTATCGTTAACAGCCATTCCCAGGTCTTGCAAACGGAGGGCTGTAGCTTCCTTGATGGAGTCAATCCATTTCATGTTGGGTCTTCCTCTTTTCCTGCTCCCTTCAACTTTTCCTAGTGTTATTGTCTTTTCGAGTGACTGTTGTCTTCTCATGATGTGACCGAAGTATGATAGTCTCAGTTTAGTCATTTTAGCTACTGGGGAGAATTCAGGGTTGATTTTGTCTAGCGCCCACTTATTTGTCTTTTTGGTGGTCCACAGTATCCGTAAAACTCTCCTGCAATACCACATTTTTTAAAAAAATCAACTTTCTTCCTTTCAGCTTTCTCCATTGTCCAACTTTCACACCCATGCATAGTAATGGGGAATACTATGGCATGAATTAACTTGATCTTGGTCATCCGCAACACATCCTTACTCTTAGGGATCTTTTCTAGCTTCTTCATGGCTGCCCTTCTTAGTTTCAACCTCCTTCTGATTTCTTGGGTGCAGTCTCCCTCTTGATTGATGACGGAGGCAAGGAATAGAACTTCAGCAATTTCAATTTCTTCATTGTCAATCTTAAAGTTGTGTAATTCCCCAATAGTCATTAGTTTTGTCTTCTTGATGTTCAGTTGTAATCCTGCTTTTATACTTTCTGCTTTAACCTTCATCAGAAGTTGGTTCAAGTCTTCCTGTTTTCTGCCAATAATGTGGTATCATCTGCATATCTCAAATAGTTAATGTTCCTTCCACCAATTTTCATTCCACATTCATCTAAATCTAGACTGGCTTTCCTTATGATATGTTCTGCATACAAATTGAAAGAACAAGGAGATGAAATGCATCCTTGTCTGACACCTTTGCCAACTGGAAACCGTTCTGTTTCTCCATATTCTATCCTAAGAGTGGCCTCTTGTCTGGAGTACAGGTTATGCTTCAGTACAGTCAAATGCTGCAGCACACCCATTTCCTTTAAAGCCGACCATCAATTTTCATGATCCACACCATCAAAAGTTTTACTGTAATGTAGGAAACACAAGCTGATTTTCTTCTGAAATACACTTGTATGCTCCAGTATCCAACGTAAATTTGCAATATGATCTCTAGTGTCTCTTCCATTTCTGAATCCATTTTGAACATCTGGCACTTTGCGTTTCAGATATGGTAACAGCCTTTGCTTTAAGTTTTTGAGCATCACTTTACTTATGTGAAAAATTAATGTCATGGTCTGATAGTTGTGGCAGACTTTGACAGCTCCTTTTTTTGGGGAATTGGGATGTAAATTGAGTGTTTCCAGTCTGTGGGCCATTGTTTCACTTTCCATATTTGTTGGCACAATCTTGTTAAGATTTTAATGGACTCCGTTTTTTGTGGCTTGGAATAGCTCTATTGATAGCCCATCTACTCCTTGTGATTTGTTTCTCCCGGTTCTCACTTCACTTTCTAAAACCGTAGGTTCTTCTTCAAAAGATTCTTCTTGGAAGAAATCTGTTACCAGAACTGAGCCAGCTGGATTGGGAGACAAAACCCAGGAGAGAGCTGCTGGGAAGGTAAGTGCTTTTTCCCTTTCCTAAACTGCTAAATTACTGGGGAGCATTAACTGAAGTTGTTTTGTGAGAGGACAGAGCTTTTGGGTGAGTGGGTGCACGTAGCCTTGTGGAGAGTGGTGTTTTTGTCTGGGTCTGTGTGGGTCTTTGTCTCGTCTGTTGCTCATTGAGCAAGGTCTGTTTGTCTGGGTCTGATTACAGGCCCCAACCTCTGCTGTTGCTGCTGGGAGGCAGGGTATGTGGGCATCTGAACTGTAAGGCTTCTCCTAGGCAGAGGCACAAGCCTTTGGTATGAGCTGAAGGGTGATAGTCAAAGGGCTCTTAATATTAGGTGGAATTAGGTCATTGACTTATCTTATAGAGAGAACCCAAAACGTTAGAAATTTGATCATTAGCCGTGAAGCTTTTGCAAACTTTTTCATGGATAAAGTCTTGTCATTCTGCCACAACCTGCCTGCCAACATTGATACAGAAATGGACTGGAGGCCCCTTGGAGACCTCTAACACTGGTACCTTCTGCCAGGACCCTGGGTGTGTTTCTAAACACCTCCTTATCAATGGAGGTCCAGATCATTTATGTTGCCAGACTGGCATTTCTTCAACTCTGCCAGGCCTCCTTCTTTCTTACTCTGACCTTGCCACAGTAATCCATGCAACA